TTTTAAAGTTACCACCAGCTGGCGGTGTTCAAATCTCTCATCCAGTATGATAACTAGTTAGCTGACACCCAATATTTACTATTGATCAGGTGTAGTCAGACTCTCAGTGCAACTGCTACCATCCATACAATGAGAATCTTACAATATACACAGAAGCAGGAACACCTTTGTATAGATATATCAACTGGAGTACCAGTTCAATTTCAAAACTTAACAATGGCTAGTTCAGGGTTTCAGAAACAAACAGCAGTTTTTTTGTGCTGCAGACAGACAATACCCCCATTATCTAATCTTAGCCTTGTTTACTGTTTTAAGCCAATCTATTTAGCATTTTTTGGCTAGTTCAAGCTTCATACTGGCTACTAACTTGTCTCTCAGACAGGATGTACCCTTCTCAAACTGTGGTATACCCGACAAAGCGTGCCCTCCAAATCAGACACAGAACAAACTAAGCATTCCTCCATCTTTGTATTTAACAAAACCAGACTGATGGCTTACTATTAGAAATGCAGCATTTCATAGCACAATTTCATTAGTTTGGAATCAGACTCAGAACCAACAGGCAAGTGCTCTTCAGCTTACTGCAGTGTCATTATGAGCCCTGATACACAAGTAGAGAAGAATTTTGATATTCTCTTTTCATCTGGCAAAATACCATGAGACTATAACCCTGTTATTTTAACTAGTCTCCTGCAAAATACAGCACATTACAGCATGAATCCTGTCCTGTCCTGCTATTTTTGCTCTTTAGGTCTTTTACCAAATGGGGTCCTCCACATGGCCTTGTTGAATATTACTACAGTGCAAAATATCAGCTGAAGCATCTCTTAAACTAAAGTGGTGTAAAAGGAGCACTTGTAAATAATTGATATAACTGATACAATTATTGGAAATTAATCTGACAAGTATCTTGCATGCTTACCATTAGATTAAGCCTTGAACACTGAACGTGAAGTCTGCATTCACAAGTTTGTCACACACTGAATCATAGATGTCTCTGTGATAAACAGCCTTTCAGAAAAGCAAACTGATTGAGCACACAAGCTCTGTAAAGTAGCAAAGTTCCAAGACTTTGAGGGGTAGGGAAGCTTGACAGCTTAAAGATGCCAACACAAATGCTGCTCAAACACCACTCTGGTCTAGAGCATAGAGGGAAATGGAAGCTATTAGCTCTTGCATAAGTAAAAGTCAGTCTTCTCTTTATTGTTTGAGGAAGATAGATTCTCACCTGGAGGGTTTGTTTTCTTTGGAAGGTTCTGAGGTCCTTCAGCTGCTCCAAATATGTTAGATGACATCTTGTGTGATCTGCTGGAAGAAGTGGTGTCTTCTGGACTCCCAAAGAGATTACTGGAGCCTCCTCCTGGGGGTTTCAGTACCCTGTGGTACAGATCATTAGTAGACAGATATATGAGACAAGATTAAATTGAATGCAGCAGGTTTTAAAATGTTGTCATATTTCTCTCTGCCCCTTCCTCAATTTAAGATTAAGCTGGCTTGAGCATCTTGAACTGAACATACTTAATTTGTTACACTACGTAATTTTGAATTAGCAGACAAGAGTTAAGGAAGTCACGTGTAGTTTAATACTTAGAATTCGTATACATAACCTCTGGTACCTCGTACACATTCTAGGATAGGATCTATAAACTAGTAATAAGCAGAAGCAGGCTTTTTTATCTGCCTCTTTCACCAGAGCACTCAAAATATAAATTAAGATATTTGATTAGATTAAAATATTCAACAGTTTCGCTTAAATTTGATCCCTTTGTGACCTTGCACTAAGTAATACTGACTTGAGAGGTGTGTCCAACTTCTGGACTACACCCTTTCATCTCAACACATCCCCTAGGTACAGACAGGACATTCATTAAATGGTAGTTATATAGTAAGACAGGATGAGTCAATCAAGACCCTTAAATAGGCATAGATTATACACCTGTGCGAATAGGGAAGTATTTGATTCAGATTCGGCCAACTCAGAGGACAGTGATTCGATTCGGTGATTTTAAACACTGTCCCCATTCTATTTGGCCAAGTCAGAATTGGAGATTTTGAGATTCCAGTGATTCAGAGATTCGGCTAGCCAGGGAGAGGCAGGCACAGTCTGGCAGCATGGGTGCAGCATGGCTCAGCAAGGCACTGCATGCTGTCTGAGAGCTGGGGTGGCTCCAGCAGTCAGCCAGAGCCTGGCACCACTTGGCCCCAGCTCCCAGACAGCATGCAGTGCCCTGCCGAGCCACGCTGCACCCATGCCATAGGGCAGCTGCTGTGTGGATGCCAGTTGGGGGGGGAGGGGCAATCCTCACTGTCCCCCAACTGCCCTGCACTGCGTGGGGCAGCTCTGCCATGAGCCCTCAGAGGCCCTGATTGCCACAGCTGCAGCTGGTAAGCATGGGGCTTCCTCTTCTTTTTTTTTTTTTTTGTAAGTGCCCAGAGACTGGGGCCAGGCGGGGGATATGGCTGTGCCAGGCAGCCATGGGAGCTTCTCCCGTGGCTCCCCCTGCCTGGGGAGAGGCAGGCACAGCCAGA